GTTTATATCAATTGTTTTTATTAGATATCAGCAGTTTACAAATCTGAATTAAGAAAATTACAGAACAGAATTAACTTGAATTCATTCTTGGTTGTAAAGTTTTTCCTTTAAGGTCATAATAATTTTTATGCAGGATGTCATCAGCAATAAATTCTAGACTGTCTAAAACACAGCCCCACTATTTCCTTATTCAATAATTGATAATTTATCAAAAATCTAAGATTGTGCTAAACATTTTAACAAGTATTTAATTAACTACTCTATTAGGCCCTTAGTAGATTTCAAGTTTTTTTTATTTTTTATTTTTTACACAATACAGAATTTTTAAAAGCACTTAAGGATTCTATATTGCAATTTTTTTTGTAACTTTCAAAACTAGGTATAAATAGACTGTTCCCACAAGGTGAAATCCACTATTCAGTATTACCACGTTTTGACTTCTCCACATTCACATCTAAGCACAGAACCTTCTAGCTGGAATACTGTTTTAAACCACTAATTCCCCACCATTTTAATGCACATCAATTAATGACTTCAAGAGCTTTTACTTCCTGGCAAGCACAGGTTTAATTTAAATGTATATTTTGCTACAGTCTACTAAACAGCACATCTCCTTTCTCCTTCCTGCCTCACAGACAGAGCCAGTAATAAAATAAAGTTCTCAGCTTATCTAACAGTAAGGTTGTTAAGAAATAAAGACTGGAAAGGAAGAAAAAAGAAAAAGTATATGCAATGTAACAAGTTGCTGCAAGATTTCTGCGAAGATGCAACAGCACTAAGAAGAGGCTGAGTCAGAAATCTGCACTAAGAAACAGGCAAAAACATCACCAGTCTTAAGGCAACCTTCATTTGAATCAGCAGTGATTACTTGTGTGCCTGAAGAGAAATCCTTCTTTAGCTTCAGTTAGGAGCCATATCGATCCTAGTAAAGTAAAAACAAATAACAAACCAAATATGAGTAGGTTTTACATGGAAAGAAATCAGTTTTACTTCCATTTGTGCAATAAATAGCAGCTGAATTCTTCAAAACTTTTAGAAAATTGACCAGTGCTTTGGCATCTACTTTGAGAAGTCTACGGAACTCAAATAAAACCAAATTTATTCTTTTCTCCCTAAAGGCAATTCAGTGGCAGGATCCATATAGAAAGACTTCAACTGATGGTTAATAGATTGTGACATTTTTACTCACCTGTATAGATGTCATGACTCCATTAGCAAGGACAGAAAGTTTGCCAGCCACAGATTTCACTCCTTGTTTAAACTGAGCTATATCAGGAGCTGAAGGCAAGACACTGGTAATATTGTAGCTTCCTAAAAGGAGAACACACACGGAGGAAACAGAATTTTGTATTAAAATTAACCTTTTTTTTCTCTCCCTGAAGCACAATGTATGACTAGGAGATCTACACAGAGATCTTGATGTCTTAAATGCATCTTCCTTTGGATTGTTTTCAGGTTTTCATAATTCCACCCAAGTGTCATCCTCTACACTCTGTATTCCCAGCAAAGCAATTCATGTTTGGATAGTAGATGACTTATTCTGTACTTCCAGGCTGTGACAAGGCTGTTTTGTATCCTCAACAGCTGTTATTCCCTTGCAATTTGAAGATGAATGCACTTCAGAGGTGGCTGAAGTGATGAACCCTATTCGTGTGCATGCAGAGTGGTGATTTACATGCTGTATATATATATATATATATATTTTGCCTTACTACATCTGAGGCTTTGAAAAATCCATAGAAATTACAGTAAATGTAAATAAATTAGGTTTTAAAACTCCAGAATAATGCTTATCCATTTATGGCTAAGCTTATGCCATAAAGGCAATCCAGCTTTCCTTAAAATCAATATATTTTGGACAGAATTAGGTGTGCTGTTATTATGGAAAGTGCAGGTCTAAAGGTAACAGAATTCAAAGATAATTAATTAATTACTCTAATTATAGTCAAAACTAACTCCGTGCTAAGTATTAAAACGCCAACAATTACCATCACCCACTCACTGGTGAAAATAATTACATTTGATATTAATGCCTTAATATCAAATATGGGGTACTGTCAAGGGCACAAATCCAACTGAACCAGAATCACAGAATTGTGATCACAGAGTCAATTACAGAATGGCCAGGGCTGGAAAGAATCTCAAATATCATCACATTCCGACCCCCTGTGACAGGCAGGGAAACTTTCCACTAGCCCAGGGTGTTCCAAGCCCTCTCCAACCTGGCCTTGGACCCCTTCCAGGGTTGGGGCAGCCACAGCTTCTCTGGGTAACCAGAGGTCAGGGCACCACCACCCTCACAGGGAACCATTTCTTCCTGATATGCAACCTAAACCTGCTCTCTGTCAGTGTGAAGCCATTGCCCCTTGTCCTGTCACTCCAGGCCCTTGTCAAGAGTCTCTCTCCATCTTTCCTGTGGGTCCCCTTCAGGCACTGCAAGGCCACAATGAGGTCACCTCAAAGATCTTGGGAATAGGGCTCCAGGAAGTAACCATCCCAAACCAGACCATTTTCCAAATGGAGACTCCTTTTAGTCTTTTGAATGGGGGGGAGGAGGAAGAGAGAGAAAGAGAGGGACCATGAAGCTCCTGTGTCCTGTGAAGTTAAATGCCTCATCAATAGGTTGAGACAGACAACTCTGGAGATAATTTGTTTTACCTAAGACAAGAGGCTGATTTGTAGCACAGATGCCTTGTCACATTCAGAGAACTTCCCACTACGATACTCCAACCCAGCATGGCTTTATAGATATTATAGATCCTCTTTGTAAATTATCTTCAAGATTTCCCTCATACAGCCCTATTTCTGAGCTGTAATTTGGACTTCCTCACTATCTGTTCCACTCATCAAATGCTTTAGGCATTTTTGTCACTAAAATCAGTCACAGAAATAAAATCTGCAGATACAAATAACCTGAGAAGCTCTAATCACTTCTCAGCCACAAGAATTCCCTGTCATTTGCTGGCTAAGTTCGGTTGGTCTGAACAAGGCAGAAAAGCAACTCCTTTTTTTGTGGTTTGCTTCCAAACTGGCACCAAGTCTGCCACTTGACTTTCAAAAGCATCAGCTTTGAAATAATACAAAAAGGCTTTTTCTTGCAGCCCCTTCTTTGGTTAGAAACCTCCCTACAGCATTCTGTACAAAAACAAGTAGCCCTACACTGTTCTACCCTGACATCTCATAAATGCTCATAAAAACAACCTTAGGTACAAAGGATGTTTTATCCCAGCAAGGACTCCAAAACTACAGTAGTGTTTTTGTTGACAGTGTCCTTATTAAGTTTATTTTACGGAACTAATGATATTCTGGGCATTAATTCCACACCAGACAAACTGTCAGTGCAGTAGCATTTCTCCAAGAATGGCCACCCCTCAGTTTTTGGGGTGAGGGGTGTAGCAGAGACTTGCAGGAAAGGAAGTTTCTGTACATTTGATAAAATGTTAATTTATGACACCGTGCTGCAAAGGCTCTTTCAAGTGGCTAAAGCAACTTACTGGGATTTTTGCTTCATATCTTCTTCCCTCAATTTTTTTTTTTTCCCCCACATTTCAAATTCCTAAACCCCGATCTTAAGCAACTGGTAACAGGAGTTATTTCTCTGCTAGTCAGTGTATTCAAACATGCTTTGGGGATCAAAACTAAACAGTCACATGTTTGGGGATTTTCCCTCCTACTTTTCCAAAGTGAAATCAGATGCTGCACACTGTGTGTTTTTCCAGCTTATTTGAATAATTACTCACAGATTTCAAGTTCTTCAGTAACTCTTCTTTTTCCAATTCCTTCAAAAGCTAAGGAATGAAACTCAACTGATTAAGCCTATAGAATGTTCCAGTATTTGCCACCTTTTCCATTGCACATCACTGCACAATCCAATTTTCTTTCATTGGAAAGAAAACAGACACTTTCAATACCCTAAGGGACTTCTTTTCACTCAATCTCATCTTTCTCCCTTTCTGATTTGATGAACTACACTCTCCAGTGTGAGATGTTCCAACAAATCTTTGAAACAGACAATCCACATGAAGATCTTCCTTAATAATTTTGCAAGGCCAGAGGTAGAAGCAAATATCCCACTGAATGGATATGCCATGCAACAGTTTACATGGGAATTTCAAGTCCACTAACATTTTATCAATGATTTTCCTAGATCCAGTATGACAGCTAATGAGCTATTCATGGTAACTGATCAAAAAACTACCTGAGACTACTCAAACTACTGAAACTACATTTAGATGTTACCTCATTGGAAAATATTACAGTTTTCCTTTGATAAATGTTATTTACAAAATAGTCTGTTACTTGCAACACACACTCCCAGTATAAAATACTGAACTTACAGATTCAAAAACAGAGAACTTGAGATTTAAGGGGTTAATTTTTAAACAATGACTACAGCTGCTGTCCCTGTTGGAGCTATTAGCATTTTGCTTGCACAACACAGTGATGATTGTGATTAGAAGCAGTCAGGGCCTGCACTCCCCACATGCTCCAGTTTCTCACTCTGTTTGATATGTACCTGTTGGTTGTTTTCTCTGGTCTTCAAACAAGTCAGCTGAACTTATGGATGTGCTTCCAGAAAGCCTTTCTAGCCGAGACCTTGCTTCATACTGGAAAAGAATTGAAAATAAAAAGGATTTTATCAGCTTGCTGCCACCTTTTAAGGCCACATCAGATAATCTGAGACTACAGACACTTAGAACTGGACTATACTGAAAGTCGTGCCCATTTCAGTCTTCACACCACTTACACTGAGTTTGCCACCATCTCATTTGTGAGTTGTCACCCAAGAGTGGCATTTATCATTGCAACCCCAAGGGTCCCACTCACTGTTGGTTACCCTACAAATCCTGAAAAACCATTAAAAACAACTACAAAGAGTGAAACGGAGGGGAAAGCACTGCAGTTAACATCCTGCTGACTCTTCCAACCACAGGACACTTTTAAGTCATCTTTTTCCAAGTGCCCTGCAAACAGTAATTATACTTTTAATTAGTATTTACACTGTTAGATTTTCATTAAAAATCTGTATCCCACCCCCAAAATGCAGCACAATACTAATCTCTTTTTTCTAGGCTGATTCAGCTCCTTGCAGTTCACTCAACCATTTATTTACTTGGTTAGCTTTACAACATTAATGATGTTTTCATGTAACAAATACACAGCAGGAAGAGGCTTCAGCAGTGGTTTGTTGGCATCAGTTTGGGTATTTAGAACAAATTAAGCCTGATTCTATCAAAGGGAGTGCTAAATCACAGTCTACCACTTTTGTCAGGAAAGAAGAATGATGGAGGTATGGTCCTATGTGCAACTGCATTTACTTAAAGTTAAATTCTAAATGATCAGAAATTTGTACATTTCTATCAAACAAATAATCAAGGGGACATAATTCTATAAGCTCACTAATTCTACAAATTTTAACTATTGATTGCCTTCTCTCTTACAAGAACACCATTTTTACAGCCATAGAATATTTTAACACTTAAAAATACTTATCACTGTTTCCTACTTACATCAGCCTGATCTTGCCTTCCAAAGTACATGTCTGATGAAATGGCTTTGACATTGCCAAATTTTTTCTGTGCCTCATCTGTGTTTGCAGGAGGTTCATATTCAGGCTTACGCCGAGATGCAGGCCTGGAAGGACAACAAACTGCTTCAGGGAGAGAAACCTCATTCACATCGTGACAGAATGAAAGGAATCAAGAAGTACTTAAGTGCTCCAACTCTATTGTACAGGTAAGTGAAAAATATGATTTAAAGTAGAAAGAAGACAAGCAGAAAACACCAACCAAGCACATAACCTCCCCGTTTTCTACATTTTCTACTTGGTTACAAAGACTGTCAGAGAAAGTTGTCATAGAGAAAATATACTTTTTTATCATCACAATCCGACTTAATTTTGTGTCTCCAGTACCTCCATCCTCAGAACTGAGCACCCCAAATTTTCATTTGTTAACATGGTTTCCTTTGATTCATCACACAATAAACAAAGCAGGTATGTGCTCAGAACAGGGCAAATATTTGAGTTTCTCCGCACATCTTCTGTCTGCTTCCTTTTTTGCTAAAAGTGTTTAGGAATTACCTCCAGTACATGCACTGAACAGCTCTGAGCAGAACAGACAGTGCTTAAAATGTGAGAAATTCAGCTTACAAAAGAAATTCAGTCAGGAGATCTCTTGACTGCTGATGGAAGTTCTGGCCAAATTTTTCTTCTATAGACTGAAGAAAATCCCACTACTATGACCATGACACAAATTAAAACTTGGGCTTTCTGGACAAAAATCAGTTTGATTTTCTTGGGGTACCTGTCTGAAAATCCTGTGCTTTTTGATGTTAACAATATATCAATGTCTTTACTATTATTTTCTTTCTTCCAAAAAGCATCTGAATTGTCATCCCATTTAGAGAAAGTGCTGCTCCTCAAATCTGAAGAATCATAGTACCTGGAATAAAAGAAAGAAAAACCTGTTGAAAAGTCAGAACTTTGTTATTTATTGGAAAGTGGGAATATATTTATTTGTTGTTAGATAATGACTGCTCTAAGTATTCATTAGCAAGTACGTTCTCACCAAAATTACAGCTGTCAGTTGTGAGAGTAATTTGGATTCCACAATACTGCTTTAGTAGCTTTGTACAGTTTAATCCAATGGCTCAAAACAGGCAGGAAAGCCTTTATTTCTGGTTCTGTAATTTTTTTAATCCAAATACTAAGAACTCATGAGTTTTGCAGCACAATTCATTAAAATTAAACGCTAAAAATGTATTTCTTGAAAGCGAGTCTGAATTTAATAAGACAATCTTCTCTTGCACATCAAAACCGCAGGGAAAACACAAAATAAAAGGAAAAAAATTAAGCATGTTTGTCAATTCTGGTACATGATTTGATCTTTTCCTCTTTTTATTACCTACATATATCTCAGCATATATGGAAAGTATTTGAAAAAATAAAAATACACCACCAAAAACCTATTAAAATGCTGAAGATTAAGATTTTGTGCTAAAGAAATTTACCTGAAGTTTGGCTATGACCAGGATGGAGAGAAAGATGACCAAAACCACAGGGGGATAGGAGAATGGAACCATTTAGTACAACAAGATAGGATATTAAAACCTGCCCCTGCATTTTGTGAAAAATACTCTTAAAAAAGAAAGTTCTCGATATTTGCACTATGAATGGTCTGGCCACTCGATTCTGCAGTTTATGAGAAATGTGACACCTGCAGCAGCAAAGTCTCAGCACCAAGCACAGAAAATATGAGGGACAGATTTGGAATGAACATCTCCAAAAAGCAGGAGCCTTTCTCCTGACAGACAAAAATAACCCACAGCAATTTTTTTTTTTAATTCCATAATAACAAACAATCAAGGTGTTTTCATAGATTTGAAGCTTTCCAGTCTCACAACGGTCACCAAAACCATGGCATTGGGCAGGGGCTGCATGAGCTGATTTAAGTAAAAGTGTTTATTTTCTCTAACCTTCCCTCTCACATTTTTGTAGCTTTGCAAAATACTTCTTCAGTATTTGGGGTGGGGGAAGAGAGAAAAACTGCATTTAACAGATTAAATAAAGTTTTACATTGTGATGTTAATAAGATTGCATTAACTGTAGCAAAAGCAGAACATCAAAATTCAGGATTTTTAGAGGCTTGAATTTTATGTAAAAACCTTGAGACTTTTAGCTTGCTTAATTCATTTATCAGCACTCTAATATCCAGTATGACTATTTTGCTTTTGGGCAAAATATACTAAGATGATGCTAAAGCTACTTTGCCTCTATTTCAAAGTCTCAACTTGAAATAAAGGATAATAATACCCTTAGCAAGTCCAAATCTGACTGTTCTTTCTTTAAAGAGAATGAACTTGTGTACCAACTCCAATTGTATTCTCCCAGCTCAAACCAGAATGACAAGAGCAGGACTACAATTACAGCCAGGTTACAATTTATCCTCTAATCACTGAACCACAACACATTAAAAAGCTTCCTCCATAATTCATCTTTTGCCTGCTGGTAGCTGATGAATAATTTGAGAGCAGTAACAGTTCTTTTCAGGGAGCAAACAAGGCAAGCACTGAAATGCTATATTTTATTTTACAAGACTGCTGCCACTTTCCTTGGACCCACATTTGTATTTCTGCTGCAGTGATTGCACTAAAATAGTGACACAAAAGCCTTTGTGCTTTTATTTGCCTGTCTACAAGCAATCAGGTGTTGCTGTGGCATGGATGCAAGAAAGGCAGTTTATGAAAGCAACACCTGTTTATGTCTCTCAGTCCAGAAAAAGCTGGTTCATTGTAATTAGTGCCTGTAAGATTATATTATTTTTCTTCTCCCAAGAGCAATATTTTATAGTGTGCATTGCATTCATCCTCTGATAACAAACATTGCAATTATTTTTCGCTTAACATTTCATGTTTTACATAAAGTCTTTGAAATAGGACTGCAGACATCCGCACAACACACCCAGCACAATACCTCAAAAAGATTGAAGTTTTTGCATTTGGCATGCAGAGAATGATGCAACTGTGGTACATCTAATATCAGACTTCAATGCTTGTTTAATTTGAAGACAATAGAAAGAAAGAGAAAGGGAATGAACACAAGTCATTCTGACAAAAAATACACTGGATTTGGAATACAGCAAATGAAAGTTTATATGGCAATTGTGTGTGAAAGCAGAGACTAGACTGGACAAGACAAAATCTACAAACACAAAGTTCAGACCACTTTCCCAACAAAACTGCCTCCCCTCTTTCACAAATCCATCTGTCACTGAGGCAAAGTCAACTTTTCCACAACTCTTCTGATTCAGATGTCCCCTGAAAACATGCTGGGTGTATACACAGGTTCAAACTGCCTTCATCTCAGCTTTCAAAAATACTGTGCATATTATTATGGCATTTGCACATCCTTCTGGGCCCATCCAAAATTAAAAGCTTACAGAATACCTTGAGCTAGAAGAGAAGTAAGAGTCTTCCACATCATCCATGTACTTCTTCTTTGGCTTTGCAATTGTAGGTGTTTCCTGCTCTATTGTTTGCATATCTGAGGTGACTGAGTGAGAAATGCCACTGGGGACAGGAGAAAACAAGCATGTAAAGAGATGACAAAACTCACACCCTAAAAGAAAAAAAAAATCAAAGCCCAAATCTAGTTTCTGAAGCTTGCTGAGAAAGTCCAAGCTATACAAACATTTAAGGAAAGAGGAATTAAAATAAAGGACCCTTGGAAAACTGTCATTCTCTCCAGTAGGGACAGGACTTCTGAGCATAGTCTGTTCTAACACCTGGAAAACACAATCTAGGTTGACCTCTGTCTGGCAGGCTAGAACTTAAATCTACCAGAAGCTTCCCTTTGACAAAAAGAAGATTTTTTGCTGATATTGTCAAGTTTCCATAACATGTTCTAGTCCATTTCTTCATTTCCTGAGTAAAATAAGGGATAAGTGCATAAAACCACAGAGTATTTCAAAGGCAGTTTCCAGAACTTCACATACCTCCTGTTGATGCCCAATCCCATGCCAAGCCTCTCCAGTTCTGTTTTCTTCTTACCAGAGAGGTTTAAGGTTTCTTCTCTTGCTTTAATATCAAGATCTCTGTAGGCCAACCTTAAAGATGATACACTGGAAAAAAAAAACCAGTTACCAGAGAAATGTCCAATGCTACACTGAATGATCAGCAGAACATTAACAATAATTATTGTAGCACTGTATTTTCTAACGTCTTCCCTTATTTGGGCCCAGCTGAGTCTCTATCCCTTACCTCTAAACCATCTTAGTATTTTCCAGTCACACCAGTGCAGCAGAGACTGAGGTTTTTCATCTTGATTACATTGAATTACATCTGCACTACAGAATTGCAGAAATACTGCTTAAATTTAATTTCTCAGGTCAAAAGGGATACAATTTTGATTTTAATGAGCAACTCAGCAATATTTTAATTCATAAGTCTCAACTGGCATGAAGTACAGATGAACTATCAGAAGAAAGGCAAATGAAATTCAGGATGCTGCTGCTAGATGTGATGCAAAACTAAAAGGAATAACTAAAAACATCTTCCCAGAATTTTAAGCAGCAAGATTAGCAGCCCTTCTCAGAAAATCTGTTTTATTAACATCAAAACTGTATTTACTGTTGATTAAAACAAATGGGAATACAGATCAAGTTTTTAGAAGTAATTTCAGCTCCCTATTATTTTCACTGCTCAGCAGAAGCTAAGGAAATTGTGTACAAATTTAAAAATCACATTTAAAGTTTCAAGTCTCAGAACTCTTCCTCCCTCTAAATACTAAACTACAAAAGAATCATTTCCATTCCTACCACAAAACAAAGTCTTATTGAATTAATTTAGTAAAGCTTATTACTCAAGCTTTTAAAATTAAAACCACCACACAAATTAGTTTGAATCAAATGCAGTTTTAGCAGACTTCACCCTTCCTTTCATTTTGGCATCTGCTGCCACCTACAGTTAAAATTCCCAAATGATAATCTTAGGGAAATACAGATCTCTTGCCTCCGCTGGGACTAAATCCATAAACTTGGTGTATGTGCATCCCTCACGTTTACAAGCATTTTTAGAGAGTTCTGGCTACTGCAGAAAGGTTGCAGAACTTACAATAAAAGTTGGCTTGGATCTTTAGATTTATACATTTCTGACACAAAACCCAAGACACTACTTGGGACTTTCTTCCAAACTAAATTATACAATCAAAGAAAATATTGATAAAGAATAATAATACATGAAGAATCCTTTTTTTATTATTATTTAGTTTTTACTTCAGAGTCTCTCCATTGGTACTTTTTGGCAATCACCAAGAACCATGATGTTGCGCTTAAAACACTTCAAATGATCCCCTTGTGACTGGCATTTTTAATGCAACCAAAACATCCATCTCTGCAAGGACAACATAAAAGTGAGCAAAAGAAATGGGGAGGAGATTATAGACCAAACACCTTGGTATCACAAGCAAAAAGTTATCTTGTAATTATGTAATAATTCAGAAAACTTAAAAGGTTATAGGAAGGATTCCCTAGCACCTGACAGGCTGTTAAGCTCTGTTAACAGCAAACTAACCAGCTATTTAGTAGGCTAATGCTGATGACAAGTAATGAAATATTGGAAACCAAAAGCACATAGCAGAGGAATGTGGAAGGAATCAGGAACAGCACCCTCTGAGCTTTAGGGCTGAGTATTTATTAATTAAGGTGGACCAACAGATTCAAGGCCTCAGACAGAATTATTCAAAGGGTTTTGGTGAAAATGAGGGCAGTTCCAGTATAAATCAGCTGAAAACTTCATCAGGCAATTAGAGACATATCTAAACTTCCTCTGCTCTTACCCACTAAGTACAAGCCGAATATTCCCTATGCTCTTAGAAAGACTGTTTTCAATATTACTGAGTTCACTGCATCAAACCAAAATAAACTGGGTAACTAGCATAAGATAAAAAAAATGTCAAGAGCCAAGAGTCTTCTTAACACTTAATTTTCTACAGTAACTCATTAACTGTATAAACATATATTTAATAGCCAAAGAAAGGGCACTGGGAGAATTACTGCTTGGCTCACTTTAACCAAGTCTGGGCATTTTTAAGAACTGAAGTTTTATTAGCATATGCTAATCTATAGTAGTGTTTAAAATGCTGTCAATTAGCTCATTAAATTAGGCTTCATGGCTTACCATTATATAATTAATTCATACTCACAGTGGCTCTTCCTTCTCAGTTTTCTTACTACTGTGAAGATCCTCTTGTTCCTTCATTTTATCTACAGCTTGTGCTTGTTTTTCGATCTCATTAAAGCTTTGGCTACTCACTTTTTGGGCTCCCAAACCACCTTTTTTGGCACCAAGCTGGAATTATTGAAAAACAAAAAACCAAAAGCCCCAATATTATAACTGAGACAGCCACCTCAGCTGACTCAACAGCCAGATGTGAAAGCAACAGCAAACACTACACCCTGTCTTGGAGCAGTCCTTGCAGACAGCAAGGACAATCTGGAGCAGAGAAAATACTTCTTTCCATATTCTGGACTTCAAAATTCTGCTTCTGCTAATTGTACTTACAAATGTAGTTAGCTTTGCAGTGAAGTCCCACAGAAAAAAAATAGAAGTACTCGAGTTTTAGTTGTTCAGACACTGACAGGCTCAAATAAATATAGCACACAGAACAACTTTGGCTTCTTTTGCTGTATAGAAATAATAAATTTCGTTGCAATGGAGTCATTATCAGATTTATAAAACACTTAATACTGCAAATATGGATACAATGTGCTGACTCAGATGGTGGCCCAGCTCTCAAATTGCTGCTCTTAGTCTCCTCTGTGTTTAATTCCTCACCCGCAACAGCGCAGCAACAAAAAAATTCACAATGCATTTATCTTCACCTTTTATTACTTTAAAGCCTTAATGTAAAAGCTCCAGGCCATGCACACACAGTTCACAAACTGTACCTGCACCTGTCAGCCCAGTTCTGTTGTTCTCACTGGGAGGGACCAGATCTGCACAAACCACCCAGAATAAAAAATTCCTCTCGGGTATTAGGGTCTTCTAGTGGGAGCACAAAATCATGGGATTTAATCTAAATTATCTGCTCCAATAAACCTTCAAAATCTTCTGTTCTACAGTGGCCCAGACTTAAAAGGAGTGACTCCCTGTAAAAAGCTGCCACCCTGATAGCCCACAATTAGGGTGGCATTAGGGTGACTGTTAGTGCTGTTCCTTGAGTTCCAACAGCCACACATTCAAACTTGGGCTGCCTTCCTCAGTCTTCCTGTGCCCTGAACCATCGTTTGGAGACACTAAACTCTCTTCCTGCCTTTTTACAGAGACCAGATGCTAAGAAAGTGCTAAGACCCCATGCAGAATCAAGTCTGTAAACTATCTTTACACTATCTTGAAATAAATGACCTATAATAACAGTTAAAAATTCTCATGGGTATACTTACCCCCTTCTTAGCTTGATTTGGCTTCTTTTTTATGAAGGTGGTGTTCTCTGCAAGAATTAAATGTACATTAGTTAACAGACAATTTTTATTTATTCTGGAACCGCAGAAGGAAATTTCCGTAACATCAACCTCAAAATAGTTTTTGCCATTTATTTTACTGTCTTTCTACACTGAGGGGCTGAGATACTAAACCAAGTGACACAACAGAGCTGTGATTATCTCCAAGAAAATGTGGGGAGCTACCTTTGATTGGCATCTCTTGAAAATATGCAATAAGAATGAAACTACTGCTCAGTTGTCTGTTGCAGATTCCTGCTAATCAACAGAATAGGAAAGCAGGACTTACTCTTCTGAATCAGACTTGAGATCTACCTGACCTCATATCACTTCCAAGATGAGTTTTTTCCTGTCTAGAAAGGCATTGGCTGTGTTCAAACCCACCAGTGATACACGTAAAACATATCTACATCTCACCCAAAACATCACAAACATTTTAAGTGGCTCCTACTGGATGCCTGTGCACACAGAAAAACTACTCTGAGCCGAAATTTGTGTGGAAAGGGGCATAAACAGAACAGAGATTCTTCCCTTAAGACAGAACTTGTCATGTCCAAACCAACCAAGAAAAGCACTTGTTTTAGGAGAACATGTTAGAGATACAAATGAGAAAAGCAGGAAGTACATCCAGTGACTTTTTTTGCAGTCTTCAGCTCTAAAACAACCAAACCAAATTAAAACAGTGATGAAGACCATACCTGCCTAAAGTATCAAAACAGGCCCAGACAGAACTTCTTTACCACCTCTGTGCTGCTGAGAATCAACACTTCATTCTCAGAAACCTGGTCCTGCAGGACAAGCCTCAAAGTGACAAATCACTGAGGTATTTTACTCTATTCTATTTCCATCAGCTTTTTTCCTTACTCACAATATGATAAACTGCTCAGTGTTAAGTAAAAGAGCCTGGTGATTGAAGGTATTGCATTATCAACACAGGATTTTTCCAGTCCAAGTTTTTATGTTCAAATTTCTGAAAAGAGAGCAAAATCTATTTCCACAGCTCTTCCCAGGCAGGCATTCTTTGTCCAAAGGGATTTTTGGGTTTCCTACATTTGCTGCTCTCTTTTGCTGCTTGCACTCATTACCTAATGCAGGCTGTGGGGATGTGTTAAGGCCATCAACACTTGGTCCGTGCTCTGGTCCTAAAAGATAAGGAATAACAAGGGTAAGAATATCAGAAGGCTCAGATATTCTGATAGAGACACCATAATGTGGTATTTCCATCACAGCTTTCCCAGACACTAAGAGAGCAGCAGCTACCCCAAATTCTTGTGTTATTAAGCATGGTTAGGTTATTTAACTATTAAAGCAGGGAAAAAAGAGAATAAACTAAGATAATATTTAAAAAAATGCAACTTACTATTAACAAAGAACCAATCATACCTTCACAGGATTCTGAAATGTTTTCTGAAGTTTTCTGCTGCAGAGAAACTGGTTCTGGTAACACCCAATCTGTATCCTTTGCCTTGAAAAAAAACCCCACAAAATCAAAAGTGCACAGAAAATACAGCAAATAAATATGAGCACTTAGCTAAAGACTGCATAAGTATCACTGGTTTATTAATATTGAATTTTTATGATTACAGCTTTTAGGATTAAAACCTGTACTCAGAAGGGCAGCTCTTAAAATTACAAGAAATGCCTACCTTTACTAAAAACAAGTGGTTTCAATTCACTCCTGAACACTTTTATTTCTCCTCTCAGGAATTTTGTTTACCTTATGTTTATCATCAAAACCAATAATATGCATTTATAACTGTGCTTTAGATTTATTTATTGTATGCTGGATGATTTACTTAAATATAATCACCACACCTTCTCCCTAGAAGCTCTTGCATTTCCTGTTTTCATCTTTCACTTCATTTTTGATTGTGAGCAACATTCCTGGTGCATCCTCCCACTCACTTCAAACACATTCCCCTCAACAGGCAGGTTTGTGACCAGGTCACAACAAATGTTGTAAGAACTGTTACACTTTGCTGATCGAAAACCCAAGGTACAACACAGTATATTTATATCAGAGCACTTCCAAGTAAGAAACCCTGGCTCCAAGTGGAATTGTTATATCTACAAAAAAACAGATTTTCATTCCACGTTTAGCTACTATCTGGGTCATTTAAAATGATCATCTTAGAAAGTGGTTCACATCCAGGAAGAATTCTGAGACTCACAGAAGGCAAAGCAGATAAATACCAACTCCTTGACCTACCTTCTCTCTATAAAGTTTTCTTTCAGGGCTTAATCTCCACCACAGAGCTCACAGTCAACCAAAGTGTTTAGAAAGCAAACAAGAATTAGACAGGTAATTTGTACCTTGGTAGAAGCATGGGATGCAAAAAAATCTTCCTCCTCTTTGTTTTGAGGTGATGCTGGTGGCATTCCACATCCATCTGTCCACAGCTGAAATTAAGAGACAAAATTTTACAGGTTAATTGCATTAATGTATTTTTTCCCAATGCATTAATCTTAAAAGAACTCTGTTTTCAGGTTAAAAACACATTGATTTTTCTTCTTGTCTGTGTTTTTTCCATACAAATTTATCCAATGTTCAATAGATGACATTCCTTTTTTTATTAAATTCACACATATTTCTTGTGCTTCTGGTGGACCAGCCAAGATCTTTGAGCACAGGCAGATCTCAGGACTGGGGTCCCCAGAGTGCCACAGGACTGCAGGACAGGACTCCAACCTGTGACCTGCACTCCAAGATTACTCACAGACAAATCTTTTCTCACAGCTCCTCTTACTCCATGCAGGAATAATGATCTCTGTCAGAAAGGATACCGAAGGTACAACAAGCTCATTTCACCATTCAACAATCAGCGTCATCAGTAAGTCAGAAAAGGAATTTTTTACCATGTGACAGGGGAGGGGATGGTTGGTACTAAATGTAACCATCTGAATAATTTAGTTCAGTAATTTAAATAGCACATAATTACTTAAGTTTGCAGTGCACAGCTAAAAATATTCAGTAAATATTTAGTGAATTTAGTAAATATTTTAGTGAATATCAAACAATTGGATGAAATCTGTAATTGAAACAAGATAATCACAGTTCCTCAAAGAGTCATTTGGGAAACTTGCCACAAACTTAGATACACACAGTATATTGTACTTAAACACATTTTACATTTTAAGCTGTTTATTAAGTCAAAAGAAATATTCTCTGAACTTAGTGGTGTGAATTATATTGTTCATACTATGAATACTTGAGAATGATCCATTAAATTTCATGCTGTTTGATGCAGAGATAAGAGAAGAAAATCAAGCCCTCTTGCTTTTAATTTCCACTCATCTGATCAACTTCAAATGAACCAGTCCCAAACTTCAACAACCTGAATTAAACAATCAAAACATGTTTTCTGTGTATGAAGAAGAGAACTGTTGTCAAAACTTAACCTAACACTTCAGAAATCAATTCTGGATACTTTGCTTGACTTCTGTCAGCAACCTAGCAATGTTTTGACAGCTTGCATGAACTGCCTCAGCAAGATAGAGAACAGCAAGTTCTACACAACTCACCAATTTCCCAAATATTATTTTTGTAGGGAAAAAACAAAAAAATACATTATTTACTTGTTCAAAACAAACTCCACTTAAAACACACAGTGTGCAGTTAATTCCATTACAATTTTTCATGCTATACTCCTCTAGATACCAAATTTCAGAGAAGTAAAGATAAAACCACTACATGGTTCATGGAGAAATGGCCACGTTATCTGAAGACCGATAACCTTTTGTATTACTGATCAGAAATGCAAAGTGACTTTAGAGGGAAAAAAAAAGTGAATTTTTTCAGGAATCTCCTGCCTTCAGGACACACACTACTCACATCAGTCCCATGCTTTCTCGTGGCCTGTGTTGCAAGAGATTTGATCTTCTCCTTGTAGAGCTGAGCAGCACGACTGTTGTACTTGGCATTGGTGTCATTGGTTGTGCACCCATGTTGGTGGAAAAAAGCAGACTGGGAAGCAGAACACAGAAAATGCTGTCAGAACAGACTTAAAAGCTAATGTCATTTGACACAAAGATACATTGCAATGCAGAAAACTAGTCTGCTTCCCTGCCTAAATCTAATAATTTAAGTTATGGAGTCTAAGAAATCTGCAAAGTACAAAGGAAACTCCACTCTGGGAACTTCTTTACATATAAATAAAAACAGAAAAAACCCCAGTGTGATGCTTTAAGAGCATATACAAATGCAAGCTTCCACCATATACAAAAAAATCCTTGAGTTGAGATTAAGTGAAAGGAAGAGGTAAAATTAATTGCCAGTAGTTGTGCTCCACAGGACATTCCTAATATTCTAAAAGGCATTGCTTGGATAAATCTCTGTCAAGCAGGGGAGATCAATTTCAATAGTATCAAAATGAGTGTACAAAAGTGGTCCTCCTTCAAAAGTAAGGGCTGTTTATGCACATATCTATGTGCCCAGATATGTTTATAGGCTTGTGTGTTTATATAAAATGACTAAATGAAGATTGTGCATTTCTGCATGTTAATATATACACTATTAACTTGGCACTTAGAGAAGCTTCTTAGAAACCCTAATTCCAATTACCATAGAGCTGTGATCTGAAAGCACAAGGAGCTAAGGACACTTTGGATTTTCTACCTATCTAAAATTCACCAGGAAGCTCAGGATCCACTGTTAGCCAGGATTCAGTATCATCAGGCTATTACAGAACACAAATCATTGATGTTAATCTAGCAATGCTTCTAGCCAGTAGTTAGTAAAACTAGAATTTGGTATTTGACTGGAACCAAAAGGGAATGGCTTTTTAGTGCCATTAAAAGAAAAGTGTTAATTTTATTTCAATGTACAGACAATTTAACAATCTGTTTTTTCAAGTTTCAGGTACTGATCTTCTGAAGTAACCCAAACCAGACCATTGAGAACTTAAGGTATTTGGGGAATTGCTGAGGGTATATTGCACCTCTTGCTACAACATATGATAGGAAATAGTGACATCCAAGTAGGAAGACAAAACCCAACAAAATTAAACAGTTAAGGTTTATTGTAATTCTTCCACTAACAGACTTCATAAGATGAATTGAAGACTTTTTCAGACTTTGTCATCTCTTCTTTTCAACTGCCTCAAACCCTTTACATAGCAAAATTGATATAATTTAATCAAAGTTTTTAATCATTTGGCTAAAAAAGAAACTGTTCTTAACATGAAATCTCCCTATTCTCATTAGTCAAAACAGTGATTTTTTTTATGTACTCGGTGGTACAACAGAAACTTGATGAGGACATTCATATAACAGCAGTACTAACATGGAAAGGAATAACTTAGCAAGGACAGACAGAAGAAAAAGAGGAAGAAGATACCATGTAACTGCTCAGGTCTGTAAGCCTGAGATAGTGACTTGCTGCATGCCAAATTCAAAGAAAAATATTTGACTGGAAAATACAGAAGTGGAAGATAAGTAACAATGACCCTGAACTCAGCATTTTTTGTATAAAAATAAGAAAAAAATTATAAAAACCCTAAAGACTTAAGGAAAGATGCTTAAAATTGTCACGGAAAAGACCATGGGAAACAAGCTTGGGTAAAGCTTCTTATAGAAACAACATTAAGGACCAAGCACAAATGAAAAAATATACGGGATAAGCATCCAGGGAATTAGAAGAAAAATAGAAACTGCTTTTGGAAGTCGCATGTTCCCACACTGGGTGGGCCAGCTTAAGGGAGCACTCTCAGTTATTTGTGGAAAAAGCTGTGAAAAGATTGCCAAAGAGTTTACAAAAGAAAACAAAAAGGGAGATTGAGAACTAGACAGCTGTCAACAGAACTTCAATTTACAAACACATTGTGTAAGTACATAAAAAATCAAGTTGAAAGTAACAGCCAATGTGAACTGGCCCAAACCATGACACTGCTAATCCCCACAACAATGCAGCACATCTTATCTTCAGTGCTAACTCAGGTGAAGTTAGATCTCGACTCCAGGGTGACTTTTGGCAGTTCCATGGGTTTTGGCATGGTTTTTTCACAAGACATGGAAGGAATGATGGTCACAAAAAGGGGCCCATAAGCTTCCTTTACAAACCATCTTTGAGCAGCTGTCTAAATTAGACATTGACAAGGAATCTGATCTGGCCTTTTCAGTGATTTTCATCACTGACTTCTAAGAAAAAAAACCAAAACATTTTCAGACTACACCAGAATGGAGAAGTTGCAAGAAAGGAGGATTAAATCAGCATCCAGAGGGACAGAGAAATTCCTAAAAAGAAGAGATGGAGGGGTGTGAGTGTGTGTGCTGTAACAAAAAAAAAGGACTGGAAAAATAAAAATAATTCCAGAAAGAGAGGCAGTAAGGACAGAGAACATTTTCCAAGCTTACATTACAAGATTACCAAGCTTCAACATGCAAAGCAAACACCAGGGAGTACGTACAGCGTTTGCATTTCCTCCGACCTGCATGCATCTCAGCTGGAACCACGACCAATTGGAATCCAGCTCTGTAGACCTAAACACAAATAAATGTTTTTAGTGTTACCACCAAAGCCATTTAAAAAACTCTCTGTTTCTGTTCTTTTTCCAAGTGTTTCTCTCCCCTCCCCGTCCCTTTTTTTTGTAATCCGTAGTTATTTATCAGACCCCAAAAGGCCCTGAGTCAGCAGCTGGGACACTCACCTGGAATAGGACAAACTCAGGGTGCAGATGTATCGCACCAGCTGACTACCTGAGCACTATCCAAGTACCAGAACCACAGAATAGTTTGGCTTTGGAAGGGTAGAACTCAGGTGCCACCACAATGAGCTGCTTCAGGAAGCTAAGCTGGTAACTGAACACAATTCCCAAGAAGCTATCAGATCAGAAGCTATCAGCAAAGCCAACAAAAACACTAAGAAGGTTTGAATCAGAAGCTGAAGGAAGAATGGGTTTCCCTCTCTGAGCAGGTCTGTGAAGAAACAAAACTATTAAAAGATGAATTTTACTGTCAAAACACACCAATACTTACCGAATGAAACTCAAGTGAACGCCAAGGGACCGGTGAGTCCCTGAGCAATCGATACAGAGAAACACTCCATAGGTGATGCTTGCCCAGCTGGGGTTCTTTGCTCCACAGTCAAAACATACCTTAAAGAAAGCAAACATCAGTAACAGGACTTGAGCATAACCAGGCCTTAGAGCTGTATTACAAGTCAATGTAACACCCCTGCAGTGATCTAACTTTGTTAACTCATTCTTACAGCATTTGTTGACATGACAACTCCATGTATCCTAATTTTAGGCATCTAAAGAGGAGTTACACAATCTGCTCACACAACTACAGCCTCCCCATTTCCAAAATTAACCACTGTACACAGGTTAAGAAATTAGGTCAGAGAACCCACATCAGCCTAGTTCAAACACACATTTAACATAGCGCTTCCAGCACTGCTGGAATAGGAAACTGGTTAAGAAATATTTCCCCGAAGGCAGGCTCTCCTCATGTTGCACCTGTGAGTCCCCAGAAGGTTATCAGCAGGACTAATGCCATCATTATCTGCTTTCCTATATTGAAACCTTGACCTTCAGGGCAAGCCATGGCAATCCAGCTGTGTCAGGAAGGCCTCTGAGCACTGCTTATCCAGGCAGCCTCTGCAGATATTTGCATGATTCATCACTCACCAATTGCCACATCAGCCTTCCCACTGTCTGGGCCACACTGGTTAAAAAGCAACCAGGTCCACAATTACTGCATGGACAAACCCAGGAATTTCCTTCCCTCTGACACCACATTGTACCTCTAACATTCAGCCAAAACAGCAAGAGCTGTGTCTGTGTGTGTCTCTTACATTTTGCAGGTCAGCAGACCATGACGTTCAAGCCCTTTTTCACCTATTCTGAATTCTGTGCCACTTTGATCAAGGAAAGCAAGAACCAGAAAAAGAATTATCTGATACAAATCAATTATCAAATGCAAGAAACACAACAACTTTAAACATAAACAGCTATTCAGAGTTAATGCCATGTGCACACATCTATTCCTGTATGACAGGTCTTTATCTGATCAATGCTTTTTCAGAGGTAAAAGGAAAAGGCTGCAGAGAAGCATTTTTACAGCAAAAAGCATCCACCCAGTGGCACCTAATAAGAAGTAAATCCACGGAGAGCTAAGCTTTTAAACACAAACTGACAGCACTCCAATTTGCAACTTTATCCTTTAACATCCTCATATAAACTTAATGGATCCTCAGATCGCAATGGAAGTTCTAGCTATATGCAGATATGAAAAATGAAGTTTATTCCAAGCCAGGTGGGAACATATGGAACATCATAAACAGGCCACAGAGCTTCCAGCACCTCCTTGCCAGGCTGAACAACAAAACAAAGGTAAAATTAAGAAGTCTTGCCAGAAACTCCCTCTGTAAACCTGGAGAGAGATTTTTGTCTCTATTTTTTTGTACATACACAGTCAAACAAGCCCTGAGTCTGGGATCAAGTCATGTCACCCATCATCCATCCAAATTAATTTCAGGTGCATGCCTAGGAGTAGTTTCAGGCTAAACTCCTCAGCTTAATGTGGGTCTATTTAGCTTGGGCACTCCAAATTTATCAAGCATAAGCACAGCTCACCAGCAGATTCAGCATTAACTCTTCCAACAACTGAACACTTTAAGGGTGAGCTGCATTTATGTAATGACTGGTAACACACACAGAAATCATGGAGATCACAGCTCCTGCATGTGCAAGTCCTGCCTTTCCCTCTCAACAGGGACCTAATACTTATTAATGTTCTTTACATGTCCCACTCCTGCACGTGGAAATGGGGCATCCACTGGCATACAGCAGAAATGAAAACAACACAGAATGGGTGGCAACAGGAGGGGTTAGAGGCAGTCCCTGAAACAAGCTCAGGTGGAATGGCACACAGGGGGTTAGAGGCGAAAAAAGAATGAGTAAGACTTCATGCATGCCATATTCTAAGACAACACACAGCTTAAGTAGTCAGAACTTGGTTTGGTTTTTTTTTTCCCCAAATTCTTTGAAGCAGCTCCTTAAAATACAAGAGACTCATCTTCATTTTAAATTGACAATTTTCAGGCTTTTTCTTACAAGGCCAAAGGAGGATGAGGACAACAAAAGAGAAGATTCTGCTTGAAACTAAAGCAAACAGAGCAACCGTGGTCTCACTTCTGATATAGGAGAGCAAAGCTGACCTACAGGTGGAAGTCTTGTGGAAATTCCCTGGAGTACAAATGGGAAACTAGAATCTGGAGTGGGTGGTTAAAAAAAAACACTCATGTTTTTAAAAGTTCAGTCATAAATATGCCTGAAGATTCTCTTCCTTTCCCTTTCCTCCAATTATGAGCACTTTGTAATTTTAACATCTGAAATTCAATTGCATCACCTTGGAGTTGGCTTCCACAGCTCAGTATCTTCAGTGTCACACAGGAGCCCCTACCAGATACCTGTGAGATTATTCAGGCAGCATAAAAATGTACCTTTCAGGACTGAGATGAAAGCAGGAATATCCAATTTTCTTCTGAAAGCAAAGGAGGAGCTGTTATTTCCATCAATGGAAATTATGCCAATATAAATAGATGCATGTTTCATTAACATTTAGATTAATTTTGCTTCATTTTCTCAATTTTTAAAGTGCTTCCCATCACATAATTTTTAAGAACCAGGGGGAAGAAACTAAAATCAATTTCAAAGCCACACTAAGAAATTGTTTCCATTTTAAAAACAGACAAATTGTATTTTCTGTACAGATTTAGGTGCAACTAAAATATTAAAATATTGATTAAAAATAAATTTGAAGGATAGGCTTAAATAATCTAGTGCTTTCAAAATACATTTGCATGCTTTTTGTTTATTTTGTGTTGAGACACTCAACGGTGTAGATTCAGTAAGAGTCACTTTGGAAAAACACAGCCAAAGACCTAACTGAGATGTCTGTACAAGAGCAAACACAGATTTGGGTATAACCCACAGCAAGCAGTTAATAAATCATAAAACATCCACCTTGCGCAAAACACCTACATTAATAAATAAATTAATTAAATATTGACATTGGCTATGGAAATGCAGTAATAAATAGCTGATAGAAATGCTATTTTGGGCACGAGCAGAAGAGGTGAGTGGGTTCAGCAAGAGCACTTATCCCTGAGGTCAGGGTTACACAGAAACTTTCAGCCTCTACACTCTGAACCTCCACTGGAACAGGGTTCCAGCCCCAGGGCAGATCCACACCTTGCCATTCCCAGGCTGTGGATCCAGCTGCCTGAACACCAACCCGGCTGAGGTCAGGAATGCCACACTCAGCCAAGCTGATCTGAACCCAAGCAGCTCCTCTCAGTCACCAGCCACTGTCCCCAGATACGCTTTCCCTCTTCACTTGCATCAGCACTAATAATGCCAGCTGCTGATCCCGCTGGGAAGCAGCTCTCTGCACGGGCACACGAACTGAGAGCAAAGGCAGGGCCAACTCACAGTGCAGCCACCTGGTGAGAAATGCCAGCCTAAGGGAGGGAACTGCAGCGCTGGCCACGGGAACGAAAGAGGACTGCCCGTTTTGGAAGTGTCATCATCTCAACATGACTTAAGGGACACAAGATAGCGGAGCCCATCCTGGGGCAAAACCCAACACAAACCACTCCCAAACACACACTGTAATAACAAAACTAAGCTACTGATAAACCACCGGCACAACATGCTGGGAGTCCAAGCAAAGACAGGAATACCATCATCAACCAAAGAAAAGAACCAGGTGGAAAAGAATGAAAAAATGACATTTTCAGAGGAACAGATCTATGACAGAATAGAAGAGAATTTCAGCACAGCCTGAGTGCGCAAGTCTTTGAAAGGGTTGAGCTGTAGAGCTCAAACACTCAAGTAAACAGTATCAGGTAGCTTAAGGACTATGATCATTTTTATGGGTACAAAATACATCCTATTTAATAACTGTAACATGTTTATTAAGTCATCAGGCAGCTGATCAGTCTGCTGTCATCAGGCAGTTCTACATTATGTAACACTCAAAGACACCAAGAACTCAAAACCTCATCATAAAGGGAACTAACATGAAATTACAGATGTTAATTTCTAGACAATTATTCAAGCATCACTTTCAACACACTATCACCCACAAATTAAACTGCACATTTATTTGAGAATTCTTTTCCTGAGCTCACATGCACTAAGAACTACCACAGAGCACCCAGAACAGAGTAAATGCACATGCCTGCCTAGAGCAGGCAGTTCTTCCCAAACTCTACCCATAAACCACACAGTTAAAGCAAATTACTAAGCTTTTAATCCAGAACCCTTTTCATTATTTGCATTTTCCCATGTCTTTCTTCCCCACCAAAAAAAACCCTTTACAAATAAAAGGGGCAGACAGGCTGCTTGAGAAGAACACAACAGAGCGGGAACAAACATAAAGGTAAAAAACACGAGAGGAGAAACTGATGGAAGAAACAACTTTTACTTCAGGAGAACTGTCAGACAGACAGGCACAGGAGAGTTGTGAGACCTTAGCTGATGTTTTCCACTCTCCCTCTCTGCCTTCTTTAGGTCATCCAGACCGGGCACCACTGCATTGTTATCGAGTTCTCTGTGCCTGAGCCACTTCTTTGCCAGTGGCCCACGGTGAGTGGCAGCACACATTGTGCCAATATTGCTGTGTCAACACTGAATTTCTGTGTGGCGTCTGACACGGGGAGACAGATACACCTGAGCAACCACAGGTACCACATCCACCTGATTAAATCTATACAGTAACACTGAGTCCAGCACAGGGGAACTGCCCGAGGCACCGCATGCTTGCCAGGCAGGGGCAGTACTTTCTATTTCTCCTGTGATCCCAATATAGAAAAAGTATCACAATAGCCCTAAACTACTAAATTTTCAGCTAGAGTGCCAGTGAATTTCAGGAGCTTGCAAGAGATCTTTTCTCACCCTCGTTGTTGGGACTAGGACCTTTCTTTGATAAACTTTTCACCCCACTGCAAAGGCAAGTTTTAAGAATACTTTTGTTAGAAACTGAGCGTTCATCTCTGAGCTCTGCTTTGAGAATCCAGACCTGTGCGGTCTTAATGAACTGCGTTCAAAGAGTGGAAGTCAGTTTTGGACCAGAGACAGACATCCGGATTCCTGGTCTCAGAAAACAAACCCAACGTGTTTCTCCCTAACGCTAATCCCAAGTTTCCTGGTGGGTGTATATTTCACGTATGCTCTCGGCGTACATCGCAAAGCCAACACAAACAAGCGACACAGAGCAGCTGCAGGCACTTGTCACCTGGCCAGCCACCTTTCCCAGCCCACACCTCCACACTCAATGGACACTACAGCAACACCTTCGCACCACGGAGAAAGCCACCTGAGCACGGGACAAGCCCAGCAAGATTAAATACCAACAAACTTTTATCACTGCCTAAGTGTCTGTACCACTTTGTTGGGTAATAAAAACAGGAGGGGAAAAAAACAAAAAGGCAACACACACTCAACGTTGCAGCTGGTTGGGAACTTGTTTTTATGCTCAGCGGACCTGAGGCACCCGGTGGGCGCCGCACCTCCCTCCCCAAGGATGGATCCCTTCGGGATGCGGGATGCCGGCCGGAGGGACGGGGGCAGGCTGGGAAGAGCCGCCCCGTTCCCGGGACGGCCACCCCGGGGAGCCGCCGGGCCTTTCCCTGCTGTCCCGGGCGGGACGCGCCGGGCTGCGGGCCCCGCGCCTCCCCCNCCGGAGTGCGCGGGGCGAGGGGGTGGGAAACCCGCACCCACGGGGTCACAGGAGCTTTGGGCCTGGAAAAGACCTCGGAGATGAGCGAGCCCAACCTTTGAACGCTCGCCACCGCGTCAGGCGCACCGTGGCACTGGGCGCCACGTGCATCTTAACAACAGCCCCAGGGACCTGGACTCCACCGCCTGCCTGAGCAGCCCGTTCCGATATCTAATCGCCCTTTCCGTGAAAAAATCCGCCTTATATCCAAACTAAACCTTCCCTGGCACCGCTTAAGACTCTGTCCTCTCATCCTGTCCCTTGTTCTCTGGGAGCAGAGCCTCATCTTCACCTGGCTGCACCCTCCTGTCAGGGAGTTTTGCAGAGCAATAAGGCTCCCCTGAGCCTCCTTTTCCTCCAGGTTAAACACCCCCAGCTCCCACAGCCGCTCCTCATCAGACTTGTGCTCCAGCCCCTTGCCCAGCTCCAGCCCCTCAATGTCCATGTTGCAGTGACAGGCCCACAGCTGGACACAGCACTGGACACACCTCACATTGGTGAGGCCTCGCCAGTGCCCACAACAGGGGGACAGTCACTGCCCTGGTCCTGCTGGCCACACCATTGCTGACCCAGCCCAGATGCCATTGGCCTTCTTGCCCACCTGGGCACGCACTATGGACCAGCAGGGCCAGGCCCTTTCCTGCTGGCTCTTCCCAGCCACTCTTCCCCAGCCTGGAGCTGCTGGGAGTTGTGACCCAGGGGCAGGACCCGGCACTCGGCCTTGTTGAACCTCATTCCTTTGATCTCAGCCCATTTATTCAACCTGTCCAGATCACACATCACAGGATGTGGGAATGGTAATCAGCCCCTCTCAGACCTACAAGAATTTTTTTGACTAAACTAGGAGGCCTGACATGAAATTTAAGATATTTGTAGGATAATGAAAAAGCCAGAAACAATAATTATTTTTTTTTTCTCCTGTCTCTCCTTATACTTCACAAAGGAATAGGCTACAAAGCCAGTATCCAGGAAATTATCATAAAATAAATTAAGTTTTCCTCCTTCTCTCTACAGGTCATCACACACTGTAGAAATCTGAGGGATGTATGATCCAGGGTACTTGTGAGGTTGCTGGCTGAAGACATTTGCGAGCAGAAAAGAAAAGAACCTCCTTGGCAATACCAGTCAGGTAGCCTTCCTCTGAGAGAGTTGTATTCAACTATTAAAAAAAAATAAGATTATTAAAAGTGATATTGGTATATTTGGTTCTGACACCTCACTGACTGCCTTGTGTTACTCTCACCTTGCACTGTCTTCTACTGCTCATCTAGTAATTCTAATATTCTAATATTAACAAATGTCCAGTCTCATGATTTTGCCTGTGTCTTTGGTCTAATTTCTGGCTTTTTTGGGTTTTATGTGCTACATTTTTATCTTGAAGAGGGGAGGGCAAGGGTAAGTCTGAAAAAAGAAAAAAAAAAAAAAAAAAAAAAGAGGGTAAGTAGCAAGATCTGTAAAACAGATGTGCCATAAATGGGCTACCCCACAAAAACTGACACTCATACTAATAGTAAATACTAAATAAATACTAAGATAATACAAATACTAAAACTGACTATCAGAAGACTGGAGGAAAACAAACCAACCAAACACCAGCAAAAGTGCTTTACTAAATTTCTTTATTGACTTCTGTGCATATATATATATATATTATAAAGATGGGGTACATTAGCAACAGCAGCTAAAGTACAGGTAAGTTTAGATACAAGAAATATTCTAGAAATATTTGCTGTACAGACTCCCCCTACTCGGGGTCTGCAAATCCTCTGCAGCCTGCCATGAAGATGTTATAATGGATAAGATACTAAAACAATATAAAAGCAGACAATAAGGTCATAATAACAAACAAATGCATTTGAATCTCAGGTGCCCCAGTTCCAGTGGAGGATTCAGTTTTAACTGAAGCAGATGAGGAAAAGAAACCCCAAACAAATACAAAAATCAAATTACTGCCCCAAGACAGAAACAGGGTATTGTGAGATGCTCTTCTGGACAAGTGGAACAGAAAAATTTAATTCAAGCCAATGAGGAGATGAAACTGAGACTTCTCTACTAACAGCATTTAGTTTCTCAAACCTTCAATATCCCATTCATACAAATCCAGCTAACAGCTGTCAGAAGAAAAATCAAGTCCTAGCCTAGGCTTTATAAAAAAATCTCAGTGCGACATTCCACATTCATTTTTTAGTCCATGAGTTTCTGCACTTGCATATAACCAAAAGCTTATCTGTATTGCACATCAAGTGATTGCAGAATCAAGTCAGATGTGAATTAAATGTATGTCTCCACCTGGTCATTTTTATTGTCTAAACTAGGCCAAACTCCACCTTTTGATGCAGGAGTTTGACCCCATGTATTGATGCATGCACTGATATAGTTGGATGGTTGCTGAAATGACAGGATTAAGAAAATTCCAAATAAATGGATATATGTCTTGTCCACATATGGAGAGTTCAGAGATTTAACAGAGATCTGGGATGACATAACTGGAGAGTGATCAGACTGATGGCACGTCTTCATTTTGTCTCTTCAGCCAAAATAATGTCAAATAAAACAAGCACTACATCCTGTTGAAGAAGCAGAACGTTCCTGCGCTGACTTATCTGGAAATAAAATGTTATAAATGAAATTAGAATTTTGACAACTAGGTCCCTTGGGTTAATGGCAGTTTAATTAAAAATAAATACAATTTAATAAATTTAATAGTAATTTGGTATAAAAAATACAGTTTAGTAAAATAATACAATTTAATAAAACTTACAATTTATATATATAATTTGCCAGTAATTAAGTATGATTAAAGCACATGTAAAACCGACTGGGTTACTGGGAGGGCTTATCACCTCACCTCACATACAAAACAAAGCACTTCAAGCTGAACTTATATACTGTATGCTTATACATATTCATTAATTTTCCTGTAAGTTTCTTCTTATTTCCAGTTTTTCTGACTTTACATCACTTTTCTTCATGGCACATGCCTCACTTGTTGTTTGGGGATCTTCAGTCTTCTTTTGGTGGTCTTTTGGCCAAGGCTTGTCTTCCTCATTGTCCTCTGGATAACCTGACAGGTCTGCACGTGTGTACTAAGCGTTGTGTTATGTAAATTTACTAATAAGTCTTATATTTACTGATTTTTAGGCCCAGTGCCTAAAGTCATTCTAATTTTTTCCATCTCAAGGCTGTTTTCGTCTTGGGACATCACTTATCTTCTAAACTACATCCTGTACCTCAATTTTAACATGTAACATCTGTAAAGGGGTGCATCTGCCTTGTAACACTGATTCTTTTGACTGCTTCTAATAAAAACATTAATAACAGTTACAGTTTAGTTAGCACTAATCAATTCCATTTATTACAAAAAGAGAGAAAACTTCTAGAATTAGAGTTCCTCACTGAAGCTCAATCTGTGCTGTTACTGTGTCTGCATAAAAATACCAGCCTTTGGTTTGGGGGAAGGGAAGGGAAGGGAAGGGAAGGGAAGGGCTTGGCTTACCCTGCGTGGCAGCAGGGTCAGCGGCTGTAACATTTCACCGCCAGCAGGATGACCGTGACCAGCAGAAGCACGGCGCAGAAGAGCAGGGTGAAGACAGCGTAGCACCAGGGGGAGTTCTCCGAGCAGGTCACTGCCAAAGGGACAAGAGACAGGGGTGTCACCGCGGGTAGAAGCAAGGCAACTCTTGTTCTGGGTTACGGGAGTATGAAAAATCATTGTCCCTCTTGCTATAGACACCGCACCTGTATATCTATACAGGTTTATATGTATACAAACCTGTGTGTGGCTATTAAAATCACACTTTCAGAGTCAGAAAAAAACCTTTTCCTGGCCACTCCTAAATTTTATCACCACAGCCACTGAGAAGAAACCTAAAAATTCGACCTCTTGCCTTTAGTGGCAGAGCAAAGCTTTGCCAGCACTGCTGTGCCTGCGTTTTGCCGCGGGCACACACAGCACTGCCAGTGTTTCCCACTCCGGAATATGCCCTGTCTTTTCCTTGGAAAATGGCTTGCAGTGCTTGTGCTACGCTGTGTTGATTGTCTGAGGTTACTCAACTGAAGACTCACAAGGAAAGCTTGAAGGTCCCATTCAGGCTTTTTCAAAAGATTTTATAGGTAATTTGAAATTCTAGAGATCCTTCCCAGATTACCATAATTTTTAAGTACATCAAAGACACTCTTGCTTAACTGGTCTTTAAATCCCTGCCTCCATCATTTTTTCCTCCAGCTTTAATCCTGACTGGGATCACTGTGTTCATTTGATCCCCATTCCTTAATGCTTCCCATTTAAGCTGCTCCCATATCTAAACAAGAATCAGAACAAACATTTGGCTTCTGTGGTTCTGAAGAGGTTCCAGTTAAGAATGTGAAGGGACAGAGCTCTCCTAGTAGCATTTATCCATATGTAGAACATATATGGATTTTGATATTCCTTGAACAAAATTTTAAAAACCTGAACAATGTAGCCAGAATCAGAGAAAGGAAGAGAGGAATTGAGGTCTGGGATGTAAAAAGGAGCCCAAAACAGACAGGTCAGTGGCTCTATATCAAAACTGCATTACTGACAACACTTTCCATGCTGCATTCCAAGCCTGGTTTCACTGGGATAAACTCATAGGGCATTTCAATGAAGCCAGTAAATTAGTTTTTTCTTTGTAACAGGGTCTCCACCTGGGCCACTCTCTTGTCTGCCTGACTGCCAGTTTTATTAAGAAAAAACATCTGAAGCTTTCGGTTTCCTTTTCCTTGTTGTGAGGCCAAATTAAACCCCAATGGAAATGTTTGTTTGCACTGGTATTTCTCACAGCTAGCATTTTTTCCATACTTATATCAATTGCTCTTATGTCTCACATGAATGCAATATTCTGTTCTTCATTTTCACCTCATACACAAGAGTCAAAACCCATATCCAATCTATTGTTTCGCTTTGAAGAAAAAAAAATTTCTTTCGGAGCTAGTTACACATTTTGAGACAGTTTAAAGTATCTTAAAATTTAACTTAAGAGACCATTTTCTGGAATTGCCAAAAAGCTGTTCAGAATTTTTGCTTTTTGGCTATTGCTTTCCTAAAGTAACTCAGTTTTGCTTTAAATACTATTGTTGGCCTGTTAATTCACCCAAAATTCGTTTGGAAGTGAAAAGCAACACATAGAAATTGTTGCTAAAATGAACAGAAGACTTTTCAAATTACTCCAAAAATTACTGCAAATTGAATTTTTAGCAGGTTCTGAGCATCCTTCAGGAGCGGGAAGCAGGGAAAAATAGGTTGAAATCACCTGTAGCAGAGAGGAAGTGACTCTCTCCCATACTCTGGAAAAATATCATGTTTGGCTGCTGAAATACAATAAGAAAACATGAAGGGTCCTGCGGTGTTGCTGTACCTGATTGTGTAATTTTGGGTGTGCTGTCAGGTCTCTCAGATCTCCATTTCACATTCACCTCAGCATATGTGATTGGGTCACCTGGAGGGATAAAAAGGGCTGAAAGTATTAGAAGAGGTCCTGCAACAATGGTTCTTCAGTGCAGTATTCTAAACAAACAAACAAACAAATAAAATTAATTTATTAAATTTTAGACAGTTTTACAAATCCTTCTAGGTGACTCTCAGTTACCACACACTGAGCTACTCTATTAATAATTCCGTTTTTTCCTTGTCATCCCATATCTTATACACAGGCTGTGACACTCATGGATCACAACCATTATAAAAAGTTCTTCATCCTGTGTTACAAGACTTTTGCAACCAACAGAGAGCATAAAAAGTGTTGTCAGGGTGGGTTTCTCCAAAGGTGTGGAATGTGTCACTGACCCCAGCAGTTTTTGGTGGGTGTGGCAGCAGAAGGAAGGAAGGAGATCTATTTTTACATCAACTGCAACACACCACAACCTCCAGATTTGCCTGCTTTGCACGTTTCGCCTCATTCTCCAAGAGCTACTTTCAAAAAATTTGCTCACTGCTAGTGTATTAAATAAGATTTTTTTTTTTGCCTGAAGAAAAGCAACCTCTTAAAGGTGCCAGAGCTGCTGAGATCAACCTTAGATTTACTAAAAATATCAAATCCAACCCATTTTCAGAACTAAGCATCTTTCACAGGCAACAGCCGAGTGGTCAGAACAATTTCACAGCGTCTGGCAGAAGATGAAGGCTCCGTTTTCTGCACTTGTGATGTACAAAAGTACAAGTCTGTACAAGTACAAAAGTGATGGAATACACAAAGAAATTAAAGATTGTGAAAATGTATAGATATGATTTTATATCCATAAGAACATGAAAAGATATTAATTCTATAGACAGGTGATTTTTTTTTTTCTGCTATATCTCACTAGGACACACTGGTGCTATTAATAGGTGCCAAACTCAAGATGGATTTAAAATATTTCTTCATGCAAGGTGTTACAATCAGCCTGTGGAAGTCCTTGTTTTAGGATGCTATTTAAGTAAAGCATTTTTCGGGACACCAACAGGGATGCAAGATTCACAGAAGTGACAAGAGTATAGATATTTCGATTGAAAATATTAAAAAAAATATTGTGACAGGCTAAACACCATGCTGGCATACTCTAAAAAATAAGAATAGCGTTTTGCGTGAAATTTGGTTACTTAATTAGCCTCATAATTGGCCATTAGAATTTTTTAGAGTCTGAATTTCCAAGCACCTTATACTGGCAAATTTCAGAAGTATGATCTTGGCTTAGGGGGCTCACAGAATAATTTATACAGCAATTTCTAAACATGATTCACTGAAGTGAATTAAAAGCTGTGTGGAAGCACTTAAAACTAACATATAACAGGAAAATTAAAGGACAGGTGAGGAAAAAAAGAAAAACAGATGGAACAGACTTCTACACTCTCCAAGTCTGAGACATTTTCACAGTGAGTTGTACTGGGCATGAAGGTGCATCTCAGATAAATCCTTAGGGGACAGTTCTACACTGGAGTGCCAAGGATGGTCCTGTCACTGCAGCTCCTCTGCAGAGAGCTGATCACGTAATTTAAGAGGCAAGCTGAGTTAACAATGAAAGACAAAGAGTTCATACCCATACAGGTGCTTTTTGTACTCTTTTCCAATGAGTGAATATACATATCTAATTTCTAAAATTAAATATTGCTTTACTGACATACTCAGGACATGTTTTTCTTTCCTGTTGGAAACTCTTAATATTTTCCATGCTCAATACTTACAACAAGAAAAGATTATTTTTGATCAGAATTAAAAAAGTAAAACCTGATACTTTTGTTTTAAAACAATGAATTATTTCCTACCTAAGTCCATTAATGGCTATATTTTGCATATTATTTTTTGAAAATAATTTTTTTAAGCAGTACAATTTTATAGTTGAAGGCGTCAGTATGTTATACACAAATTGCAGTACTAAGAGTTTTCAAAATTACAGAAAGTGCTATTAAATCTTGACTTGTATTTTTCTCAACACAGAACTTTCAGAAGAGGAGGGACAGAGACAGAGAAAGAGAGAAAAAACAAAAAGTATGAAAAAAGAGAAACAGACCTATCACTTTAGAATTTAAAAGTATTTCTGGTTTCTAAGAAACTGTATCAAATTAAAATACAAAATGTAAGTGGACTACAGGAGAGAGAAGTCCATTCAGTGAACTTCAACTCTCAATGGGTTTCCAGTAATCTGTATAAAGCTCTTTAATGTCTGAACATTAATGTGTTTAAGAAAGATCCTATTTCAGCCATCTTACTGAAAGCCAGAATGGGATTTTAAAGGTCAATCTTCACTTTTGCTAGATTTCAGCATTCATTCTACCAATAAACATGAATTTGCCGCGCCAATAGATATATATAAAATAAACAGAGTGGGCTATTAATAGTTATAAAAGGTTTCCACATGACTTCAGCTGTTTGTGAACAATTTAAGAGAGTGCAAGATTTAAGAATATGTCAATGAACAAAGTAGGTAATATTAAGATAAGCTTTTTTTTTACCTGTATCTGAATCTTCTGAAATAAAATTCACTCTTTCCTTGGGTGACACCTTGGCGTAGAACTTGGGTGACACCTTGGCGTAGAACACTTCACTTGACATTTTGAAAAGTTACTTTCAGCTCTCAGGTCTGCCATCAAAATGGACTCACTGAAGAAAACACAGCCCCTATTTCTGACCTCCCCCCATCACACCACATTAGGTCAAAGAGGTGTTTAGATGGCTGCAAAGCGGAAGGAGATGGCTGCAAAGCGGAAGGAAACCAGAACCGTTTTTTTCAAATGTAAATTCTCACCTTGTGGCTTTTGACAAACAACACTTAATTCTTGTTCCCTTCTCTTGATGTATGTTCTGTTAAAAACTGAGATTTTGATCAATTTTCTCATAAACTGTGACTTTCAGACCACATCATTTTCATTTAGAACCTGAGCTGGCAACGTGCTGAGTGTGTTCATATTCTCCTCAAACCAACTGGACATTAAAATGTGTTCCAACAGAAAACTCAGTTCTTTATTATTAGATTGCTTATGTTTTGGTTATTATATTGCTTTCATTTGTGATTATCAGATCACTTCCTCCTAAACTTCCATAGCTTAGGGTTGAAACAAGAAAGCAATGATATGGGGAGGAACAGACAGAAGATCTGATATTGCTGAAAAAACTAATTTAATTATTTTTGAAATAATAATTTTCTGAATTTTATTTTTTTAAATATTTCATACAGAATTAAATTATTTTTAAAAGTTAGTTTTAACAATGTTTCTATAAGGTCCACGTCCCTTTTTTTGTTGGATTTTCCTCCCCATAGAAATTTCTAAAGTTGGTTTGTTGTTTTTTTTTCTAAATTTTTGGGGTTTCTGGTAACTTAGAATGATACCAAAAATTTGAATTCTTCTCACAGAGGAACTTCTGCTCTTCAACTAGCTCTACACCATATGCTAATGCCCATATCCCTGGGGCACTGCTGAGCTCAGAATTAAACCAGGGCTTAGTCTGACCTATGCTTCCTTTGCATGATGATCTTCAAATTTTCTCAATAAAGGCAGAAAATGGGGTTCTTTGGGGTTATCATGGTGGTAAGTCAAGGAGTGTGATGTTTTCCCCTCATGGGAACAGCCATTGAAGAAGGATGAACACTTTGGCATTTTCAGCTTATATTACTGAGATCTTTTTAGAATGGGCCTTCACTATCCTGGTAACTAAAAGGTTCTGCATTAATCATGGAATGGTTTGGATTAGAATAGACTTTTAAGACTATGTAATTCCAACCAGACCAAGCTGCTCCAAGTCCTGTCCAAACTGACCTTGAGGGATTGGGCAGCCACAGTTTCTCTGGGCAACCTGGGCCAGGGCCTCACCACCCTCAGAGGGAACAATTCCTTCCTCATATCCAACCTAAATCTTCTCTCTGTCAGTTTGAAGCCATTGCCCCTTGTCCTGTCACTCCAGGCCCTTGCCAAGAGTCTCTCTCCATCTTTCCTGTGGGTTCCCTTCAGGCACTGCAAGGCCACAATGAGGTCACCCCAAAGCCTTCTCTTCCCCAGGCTGAACAATCCCAATTGTTCCCTCAGCCTTTCCTCCCAGCAGAGCTGCTCCATCCCTCTGATGCCCTTGGTGTCCCTGCTGTGGCCTGGCTGCAGCAGCTCCCTGTCCTTCCTGTGCTGGATGCAGCCCTGCAGGGGGACCCTCACCAGAGAGGAGAATAACCACAATGTCTTCTTTCATGAAAAGGAGGACAGCAAAGAGAGAAAGTGATAGTCTCCCATGCTGTGGAATGATGTGTTCTTTGGCTGCTGAAACAGAATGAGAAAATCTGAAGGGTCCCACAGTGTTGCAGTACCTCACAGACCTTTCAGGAGAAAGTGGGAGGACTGTGGAGGTACCAACTGGAAAAGCAGAATTTTGTAAACAGCTGAGATTTAGGCATCTCAGTGGTTGAGCAGAAGATTATGGGGTTAAAGCTTTTCTGTCCAAAGCAGCATGGAATCAATCTCAGGATGTTTTGGGTTGGAAGAACCCTTAAAGACCATCTAATTCCAGCCTGCTTCCAGTTCCAACATCTCTCACCTTCTAATTCCAGCATCTTCCCCTTCCCTTAGCAGCCAGGTGATGGTTCAGTAGAAAAAGACATTTTTTGCTTGAGATTGCAGCCAAGTTGTTCTGAGGAAGATTCTTTAACAAAGTAGCATGAGGAAGGGATTTGTGCTAGTACTTGGGCACTAAACTGTCCTCAGTGCCAGTAATGCAAAGCCAGAGTAAATTTATTTTAGATATAAAGATGTACTTTTTGTTAGAAGAATTTGGAAGAAGGGTTTTTTTTCCCTCCTACATTAATCCTTTGCATTTGAATCACACAAAATAGTCACTAGATGTCTCTACTTCACCATAAAACATATCAGAATTTCTATTCAATTTAAACTGATGGAAATTTGAAGTGCTTATGCAGCCTTTTTTTTTTTTTCAGAAGTATGAGTTACATAACACTGACCTGTTTGATTCCTTGAGTTCTGCAGATAAACTTGCTCTGTCCCAGCACCTAAAGCTCTGCTATAGCTCCCAGTTAAAGGAAATCCTCTGGCTTAGGTTAAAAAACCCCAGTGTTTTCCCTCCCTGAAACAGATAATAGCAGGTTGTTGTTCCTGCACTGGGAAGAGTAGGAAGGGAAGAAGCTTTATTTACTTCATGGTTTTGAACTCTTCACTATGGAGAATAAATTCATAACATTCATATGCAAAACAAGCACATTTATGGATATAAATCTCCCTGGATATAGGCCATTGTTTCACTTTAAGTCTTCAGCTTTTGAGTATAAACTGAGGAGCTGACTAAAGCTGAACAAGCAGAATGAAAGCCACTGAGAATAGTATTAAAAAAGTATTTTCTCCCCCCCCCTCCCCCCTTTAATGCAATCTGTATGAGTCAGAAGATGCAAACTTAGTACCCCTGGATAATAAATCATGTATTTTCAGGAGGGTGAAGGCCTTCCCATCTGATAATCAAACACCTTTTACCTTATTTGTTTTCATAGAAGGGGTATAGAAAAATGCTTCAAATTCAATAGTACTGGATGCTGTATCTTCAACATTTCCTCTGATAACCTTATTTCAAATATTTGAAGATCTTCCTGAGTCTGAGCAGATCAATTTACAATGTATATCATAAACAACACTAACAATAAAGATATGATGCTAAGTGGAAATTAATAATCATCTACTTTCTGCCAAAAAGTAATGCAGTATTTTATGCACAATGTTCAATAAGTCTCGATCTTAAAGATTTTATGATGCATTAAGATAAACTCTGAATGGTTGTGAAATCACACTGGAAACATTGATACTTGAGGCATATTTCCTGTAAAAATAGGTTAATGAAATCTTGGATAGATTACCTGGAAGTTCTAATACTGCAGGAAATACCATATTCTTGCAGGATATATTGCAGCAGTTTGCTTTTATTCTCATTCCATGCTGTCCTAGTATGGGCTTAAAAAGCTAAACTATTGAATTCTGGTCCATCCCTTGCACAGCTGACCTAAACTGACATTTACAAGTTTATTTTTGTTTGCATAATAATCATCATAATAATAAAACTTTGAACTAGTATTATTTGCACATTAAAGAATGAAAATATATAAAAATTATAACTCTACAATGAATAAAGTCCCCTACTTTTTCTGGAGTTTTTCTGTGTCAAGTCAAAGCCTGACTGGCTCCAATAGCTTGCAGGAAAGCTCTCAGATAAGGGAGGTGGGTGTTCCATTAGTGACAAGAAACACTGGAGGTGGATCTGCTGAGAAAGTCCTGAAGGTCCCACTGATGCCAACTTCACACCAAGGAATTTCCACAGTCAGCTTCCCTAAGGTTATCCCTGTTTTGCTCTGGTGCTGCTGAAATGAGAGCTCATGCTCTGCATTTCACCAGCTGTGCAGGTGGTTTGTGATTTATGTAAATAATTAATTTTGATGCAAACAGAATGCTAAGAGGAATGCAGTGAGTCTCAAACTTACAATGTGGAAAGCTCCCTCCCTGAGTTCCTGGGTAGAGGCTCTTTGAGAGAGTTGTCAGGCAGTTTGGGGCTTTTAGCTGTTGCACCTTGGATGTTCCCTCTGGGATTCTGAGACAAAAAGAGAAGCAAAAACTGTCTTGAATGAACTGCACTGATCTGTTACCAAAGACCTTCCCCATGCTGGCATTTTTCAGGGATCATTTTTATTGTTTCAAGAAAGGTTTCACTGGAGCTCAGCAGCTTTCAGACAGCACAAGCAGCTGTTTGGTCGTCAGTGATATTTGCACACACTGTCCTTCTGCTTGAGTTTTCTGTTCAGGTGCTGAGGATACAGAATACTGCACACAAAAAGCTACAAAGGGAGGGAATTATGCAAGAGTGACTGATACAGCAGCAGTGACACATTCACACAAGCCCATGTTACATATCAAACATTTAAACAACTGATCAAAATGTTTCTAAAGGGTGATGGGGAGGTCTAAATGCCTGGTCATGCATGATTCCTTGAAGTCCAGCAGAATTGTCATTTTTCTTATTTGCCTAAGAACTCGTCAAACAGATCCCTTTCTTCTTGCAAACACTCCATTTCAGCTATTTTCCAGCCATGCAAGGTACACCTAAAAAATAGAACATACTCCTCAGATATATCAATCTCAAAGCCCACAGTCATTAAAATTAAGTCTTTAGTTGCCAGTTATTTCTCTTCAAAGGTTGTTGGACATAGTCCTGCTCCTGCTGGCAGTAACTGAAAATTTTCTACAAGCTTGGTTAAAGGGATCTACTGTGTCCAGAGGTTTTAGGGCTTAGAAACTGCAGTGGCTGTAGTGCCCAGGAATGCTGCCCACAACCTCTGAGGTTTTGATGTTCTCAGATCCAAAAAGGTGAACCTCACAGCCCTCCTGATCAGGCAGGGCTCCCAGCCCCTCTCATTCAAAGAGGGGAAGGGGAGGTGGTAAAGTAGAAGCTGTCTCATGGGTACCACCACAGCAGCCAGGCAGCTGGGCTGCCCCATGGCAGGACACACTGATGGTGGCTGCTGGGGCAGGGCTCTGACAAAAA